AACCGGGATAGGGCTACTTGACAATCTCCAGACGCTTGTGTGCAGAAGTGTATCTGCATCCAAACAATGGCTATTCTTAGAAAAAGAGGCTATTCTTAGAAATAGTAACATTAACTCCAGAAGCCTAAGGGCACCATGCGAGTGGTGAAAACACCTTCAACCCCGCCCCCCCACAAACAAACAAAAAAAAACCACCACCACACACCATCCACGAGAAATGGGTGGACATCCTCTACACAACCAGGTGTCATGTCCCCAATGCTCCAAAAATTCAACCCCTGGGGTCACCCCTGATGCTTGCCATTGAGAAGGAGCAAACATCGAAGGCAAGCGGCTGTGAAGGATTAGAGGCATGAATATATTGATAGCGCTTCCGAGGCTAGAGTTGCAGCAGATGAGTGTGCCCGGGGGGGTGATTAACAGTCACGTCAAGGATAACTTTTGGTAAAGCGTATCAATTTGGACGTCAGGGATAAATAGTCATGGGACCGACGGGGAGGGACAGAGACTGCATTTGAAGGCCCCACCTATCAAACCACCAGTACTTCGCCAAGCTGTCGACCGCGGCGCTTCCCCGTTAACACGCCACGCCTTTAGGACTCCGGGGTACCGGACCACAATGGCTGGAAGTGCCAGCCCAAACAAAATCAAAACGGCACCCCGACGCTTTGGCAAAACTTGCCGCGCCGGGGCATTCCAAGCTCAGCATTGATAGCTGGGCCAAGTACTCGTGGTTTAAGGTGGGCACCTTGTGCAAGGTCCCACTTACCTGGATTCCTTGTCTCCGGTCCTTGAGGGTCATGGTGCAAAATGGACAGTCTCCATAGCTACCATCTATCTACACCTACATAGTACAACTGCTAATTACTGCTCTATGGGCTTTCTACTCGGACAAGGACGGAAGCCAGCCTCATTCCAGGAGACTGCTCCAGTGGTCTGCACCAGTCTCCAGAGGTCTGCACTTGGTCCAAGTTGGCGGACCAGACGACCGGGCGAGAGGTCTGCGCTTGGTCCAAGTTGGTGGACCAGGTGACCTGGCGAGAGGTCTGCACTTGGTCCAAGTTGGTGGACCAGGCGACTGGACGAGAGGTCTGCACTAGGTCCAAGTTGGTGGACCAGGCGACCGGACGAGAGGTCTGCACTAGGTCCAAGTTGGTGGACCAGGCGACCGGGCAAGTGTGGGTTCCAAAAGGGGACCTTCGCAAAACTGCTGGTTTGGAAAAAGGAAGAAGTTTACAATTTTTTGTCCTTTCCGAACCTTCTGTTCGATTTTCCCAATCTTTCAAACCAGCCGTGTTAAGGACCCCCTTCTTTTGCCAAACCTTACAGCACCAGTACACGGGCACCCGGGCCGAGGGTCTGCCACCCCAAATTCTGGAGGCTCGGAACGAAAATGCAGCTGCCAACTGAATTTATCGACGGCGGCCCCAGCATTTGAGATTTTCGGCCTCATCTTCTTGTGGCAACAAGTTTTGCTCTGCAAGGCTGGGACCATGTACTTGTGGTTTAAGTTTTCATCGACCATGATCTGCCCAGCGACTCCGACTGACATATGCAGCAACTCGCCATGTGGCGCTAAGTTTTCAAGAAGCTGTTGTGAAGAGTACGTCTCTCTACTGCTCGGACTATCCCCGATGCCAATCACTTGCCACATCCTCGTTGTTTGTGTAGCACATGTACTGCTGGACATCCTCCACCTGCACACTTTCTTTTTTTCCCTTGCACATTTTTTCATTTCCCTATACCTATCCCTCCTAGAGTACGAAGTAGGCCCCAACTAACATCCCCCGCTGGGGCCAAGAGAAACTGACAGTGAGCGGTTCCATCGGGGCACTGCAGTCCCAGTCATTTTCGTCGCCCATGCTGTTTGTTTTTTTTTCTTTTTTTTTTTCTTCACAGTCATCAGGAAGGTCCACTCCGGTTTTCATATATTTTGTTCCTTCCCCCCCCACTCTTTGCCGGGCACCATTCGGTGTCCCTTTTGCGCCCAATTTTCTTTTTGGCATTTTTGCACTTCCAGCGGTTCGATCACAAGTACATCGCAGGTCTGAGTCGCGGGTGTTGATGATTGCTGTCCGTTCGTGCACATGTTGTCGTTTTGCAGTCAGATACAGAGTCGTGAGCATTTCCAAAACCGGCAGGGCCTCGCTGCACTACTCACCAAATCGACATCAAAAAGAAATGGCAGTGTATCTGTTCTTGCAGAAGATTCTTTCTCATTTCAAACATTTGGTGAGTAGTGGAGCGAGACCCATTTCCTTTTCCTTCCCAGTCGAATTCATTTACTCATGTTGGACTACTCACCGCATATGCATATGAGAATGAATCTTCCGCAAGAACATGGGAACATGCACCACCATTTTTTTGTCTTTTGTGCACATGGCAAGCAGTGGAGTGAGGCCCTAAGTGCATAGCAGCCTGGACCATGCCCGCGACTCAACGTGCAGGGCCCGGGACCCATAGCTGGGAAAGGTACTGGTGAGTATGTTTCCCAGCCATTTTTCTCCGATCTGCCTTGCACGCTGCCGCAACCTTCGGGGGTCGGTAGCCAGATCAGAATGGCTGGCAACGCCAGTCAAATGATGCCCGCACCAGCTCCTTTTTTTTTTTTTTTTTTTTTTTTTGGTACACAAGACGTTCGGAGTCCCGGGTAAAAGTGGGTCAGAAGTACTGGTGTGTTTAAACCATCAATCCATTTCCTGCTATTGTGCTCCGATGCGGAACTCAACTCGCAACAAAAAAACTCCCAGGTCGCACCTGCTGGACACAACAGGCTGCACTGCCTGGCAATCTCACACTGCACCCATTCGTTTCCTTTTCTCCCGTGTATGGCAGAGATCTGCATCATAACAGAGGGGCTCGGAGGAAAACCTGCCCCACCACACCAAAAGTTTTACGCAACGTTTGCCTGCCCAGTCCAAGACGTTGCACAATATCTACAAAGGGGACCTACAATACTCTTTGAAAGTTTTCGGGATTTGTCATCAACAGAAATTAAACTTAAAAAATTGTCAAATATGGCTACTCAAAATTTGTGCACCCCCCCCACCAAAAATCTTGCACGCGACAAACCCTACTGAAAGGATTACACTTAAATTTGACAGTGGAAGCGCAGCTTCATTTTCGCATTCCTCGAAGTCTCGAGTGCTGCTGCAAGGGTAATCGACAGACCCCATAGCTGTAGAGAAGCGAAAGGTGTTCTGCAAAGGTTAGAGAAGCGACTGGCCTTTTCTACCGGGTCTATGTATATATATATATATAT